GACATGCTTTTATTTTTGAAGGAGAGGTTGCGCTGTTTACAGGAAGTTGTTGTTGCTTTGGAAACAACGTGACGGAGATTAACGGAGAAAAGTAATATCTACATATAAAGACGGAGAAAGTAAACGATAGCGTTTATGGTTAAGTGTTAGCACCCCCCGAACAAGCTCTTACGTTGATATTGGAGATTTCAATAAATTACATTTGAAAAAAAAAACGGGGAAAAAACAAACAAAACGAATATCCCAATAACGAAATTGAAACCCGAATAGTACTCCAACGAACGAATATTCGGATAGTCGAATATTCGGGTACAGCCCTACAGGACACATTAGGACCATTATGTGAAAGAAGGGTGGGGGGCAGACGCTTCAAAGACAGCATAGTGGTACAGGCCAACTACAGATGCGGCTTTCACACCAGCGCTTTTCCCTTTCTAGCTCCGAGCGGGAGCTTTTCTGGTTCAGCTCCGGTTTCCCTTTTCTGCTCCCGCTCTGTTCACACCGCCCAGAGCTGCCGCTGCTGCGTCATGACGCCACCATTTACGTGCCTGCTTCATAAAATCCAAACCACGCGGAAATCCCTCACATCGACAGCAACAACAATGGCCGATTGTATTGAAGCGCTGTTCGCTTTGGTTATCCTCTTACGAAACGAAATGGAAGGCATCGGACGACTTTACAAGGGACGACTTTACAAGGGACGACTTTACAAGGGACGACTTTACAAGGGACGACTTTACTTGGAACTTTACAAACATCACATGCAAAATGCAAGACTTCTTTGTGGTCTTCAGCATCTACTTCAACAACGAATCTGCCCCTGCCCCCTCCTCGACGTAAGAGAGACGTAAACGACGCCGCCTCTTAGCTCCGAAGCTCTTGCCTCTAGACCGACAATTTTTTGGAGCTGGAAGTGAACCGGATTCCGGAGCTAAGAGGCGGCGCCTCTGCGGTGTGAACAGGAAAAAACTGTACTTTTCTGGCTCCAGCTCCGAGCCGGAGCTGAAAACGCGTTGGTGTGAAAGGGGCACAGGGAGACGAGGAGTCGGATTTAAATTCAAGCGCGTCGGAAAAAGTCAAGAAATTAGCGAAAACCGAAAAAATAAGCAGCATCTGGCTGCATTTCAATGATATTGGAGAAAGCAAAGCTGAGTGCAGGATTTCTAAAATGAAAATAACCTTCAGAGCAGGTTTTCTTTTTGGTAACTACTCAGGATTTATTGCCAGAGGTGGGAGAAGTTCAGATCTTGTTCTTGAGTAAAGTACCAGAGTGTAGGAATACTCGGTTACAATAAAAAGGCCTGCATTCAAAATGTTACAAGTAAAAGTAGAAAAGTATTATCATCAAAATATAGTTAAAGTACCACCTGCAGAGGGATCTAGATTCAGGTGTTCTCTTCCCCATAGAGACCGCCTCGCTGCACATTATCCCTTGCATAAAGATAGATTGTGGGTTCCTTATAACATGTTGTACACAGTGGAAATAAACATTTTGGTCACCTTAACATCAGGGGTCTTATACATTAAACTCCTTCTGAATCAAACCGTCACGGTAGCCTTACCTTACCGATCCCTCTTAAATTAGAAAAAAACACGTTACTTTACCAGCAGAGAGAAAATGGATTACTAAATTATTAATGTGACTAATAAAGAGCGGTTTGATTATTAAGTATTATTCTGTTGATCAATGTCATTACATTTGGTGAAAAACACATAATGACTTGTTTAAGACTCGTTTTATCAAAGTTTAGGACTTGGACTTGACTTGAACTTGCCCATCCTGACTTGAGACTTGACTTGAACTTGAGCGCAAAGACTTGAGACTTGGCTCGGACTTGAGCGCAAAGACTTGAGACTTGACTCGGACTTGCAAAACAATGACTTGGTTCCACCTCTGGTAGATTCCTTTTGCACGTTGATGAAAATTGTTCCTGAACATTATCTTGAATAACTCGATGTTGATTACTGGAAAGAGACATGGCTGTTGAGTTCTTCACATTTAATTTTTTAAGCATTCTGAGCACATTAAGCTGAGTACTAAGAAGGCAAACACCTTCAAAGATATCTATAACATTCAGCAAATCACAGCAAAACAATCTAGATCTAAATTGCACCACTGTGTAAAAATATGTATTTTCATTTCTCGGTCGAACTGTCCCTTCAAAGAGGACATATTCTGCTCATTTTCAGGTTCATATTAGTATTAAGTGCCTCTGCTTTGACAAAAAGCTCTTTATTTTTCTCATACTGCCTGTGCTGCAACACCTCTTTTCACCCTCTGTCTGAAACCAGAGCCCAGTCTGCTCTGATTGTATAGCTGGCCGGCTCTGGTGTGATTGGTCAACCGCCTAGTGATGTTCCGCCCCTTAGCCAATCAAGTACAATGTGTTGGAGCGCTAGCCAATAGAAGCGCAAGTTTTACAAAGTGATGTCACTATGTTCAGGAAGTAAACAGAGGAGTCCAATGGGGGGGGGGGGGGGGGTGGGTGCTAGTGAATTGTCCGACCGGCCCACTTCGGTACCGGCCCACCGGGAAAACTCTCGGTGTTCCCAATGACCAGTCCGCCCCTGCCTGTGGGTGTTTCTCAATCTCGAGTAAAGCTGCTCCAGAGCCACTATTTCAAGCATAGGCCTACTACGTCATCGAGTGCCGCCAAAGTACTGTTCCAATGTCCAACATACTTGGAATTCTGCCGAGCCTGGCGTACTTCGTTTGGAGACATTTCGAGGCTGCGCATGTGTAGACTCTGCGGTCTTAAAATCCCCACAATACTTTGCGCACGGACCAATTTCCCCAAATCTGTGGTGGAAAATGTAAGGCGGGGCCTCTCATATGACGCACACCTGCGCACTTGCTAGCCTGTTCCATTCTTCGTTTTCCGAGGCTAGGAAGTATTCTTGCCTCGCTTCTGAAGCAAGATGCTCGGAAGACATGTGCTACCAAGCAGCGACGTGCAGTCAGTGGAGGCAGGGGAGGCAGAGCCTCACCTGTAATAATAATAGTAATAATAATAAAATAATAAAATGTCTCCACTGATCTGTGTTGTAAGTGTGATTTCTGTTTGATTCCAATCGCTTTTTATAGTCAAAATCAGCAAATTG